AGAACTGCTTGTTGAACACTTTTAATCTCCATGGTCCAAAGCACTGAATCCCTTTTCTTTACCAGGAGATGGGTCTGAAGGTGGGTCAGGAGGCCTCCTTTGCAGTGCAGCTCAATGGAGCAAGAGGGCTGATTGATGCCAAGATCCACACGCCATCAGGAGCCACCGAAGAGTGTTACATCACTGAGCTGGACAGCGGTAAGACCCCATTATAGCTGTTGGTGAAGTGATCTTTAGGACTTTTGAGTACAATTAAAAACCAAACATGGATCCACCACTATTTCCTAACCCAGTCAAAAGTCAAAATTACATTTGGAGTTCCACAAGGTTCAAGTCTGGGCCCACAACCTTTTAGTTTTTCAGGTTCAGATCACTTATTTGCTATAAATACAAGACTGTTATTTACCGCTTAACTATTAATTTTAATTTGTAATTTTTCAGTGTTTGGAAGTTTAAATCTTGTATTTAATCTTCATATTAAATACAGGATTATGGAGTCATTCGTATAAGAAACCTTTCTCAAAGTCTGTATTTATGGTGGTTATAGAACTGTTTGTAAATCAATGATTTCCTGCTTCTGCAGATCAGCATGCTATAAGGTTCATCCCAAAGGAGAATGGAGTTCATTCTATAGACGTTCGTTTTAATGGCAGCCATGTCCCCGGCAGTCCCTTCAAGATCCGAGTAGGAGAACCGGGTCAGGTCGGAGATCCAGGAATGGTGTCTGCATTTGGGTCAGGTCTGGAGGGAGGAACCACAGGTATACACGAAAAACAAAGTCTTTAACTTTGAAGTCATTTGATGGAGGGTTTTAATGAGCGTTCTCACTTTATTTAGGCATGGCATCAGAGTTTATTGTCAATACTTGTAACGCCGGCTCAGGAGCACTGTCCGTGACAATTGATGGCCCATCAAAGGTTAAGATGGATTGTCAGGAGTCTCCTGAGGGGTATAAGGTTTCCTACACACCTATGGCTCCTGGAAGCTACCTGATCTCCATCAAGTATGGAGGACCCCAGCACATTGTAGGCAGCCCTTTCAAGGCCAAAGTATCAGGTGGGTCAATGACCATTGACCTTTTACTGAGGTCAGTCCGTGAGTTTTCCTGATACTCACAGGTATAGTTTCCTGGGGTTTCCTTGGAAATGAGGATGAAAGTGATTCGGTCTTGTTGTATACACAGTCTGCATGCTGCCTTCAGGCGTAGTGATTCTTGGAAATAAAGCATGATTCATCACTTTCCACTGATTCCTCCAGAGATAAAGAGCACATTCAGTTCTAAATAAAGCTTGTTTGGAACAAATTGTTTTTATGCACTTGTAGGACACCAAGCTCTACATAGCTGGTGATACTGACTATATGATTCCTTTTCCATGACCAGTAAACCTGAAGGGATGTCCACATACTGTTGGAGAAAGCTGACTCTAACTCTTCTTCTTCCAGGACCTCGTCTGTCAGGTGGCCACAGTTTGCATGAGACGTCGTCTGTTCTTGTGGAGACCGTCAGCAAGTCAGTAGCGATGGGCAGCCCTTTTGCCTCTTTGCCTAAATTTTCCTCAGATGCCAGTAAAGTCATCTCCAGAGGCGCCGGCCTTTCAAAGGCCTTCATTGGTCAGAAGAACACCTTCACAGTCGACTGCAGTAAAGCAGGTGACCATTTCGTCCCTCCTGTCTTCCGTGAAAGTCAAATCTGAGATTTTTCTTCACCACTCACGATATTTCCGTTTT